TTGTTAACTGGGAAAGCAGCAGAAGATGGCTTAAGTGCTTGGGTCCCTGCACCCATGTGGGAGACCCAGAAGAAGCTTGTGGCTCCCGGCTTCAGATTCACCCAGCTCAGTCTGTTGCAGCCATTTGAGGAGTGAACCAGTGGATGGAAGATCTCCCTCTCTGTGTTTGCCTCTGTCTCTCTGTAACTCTTCCTTTCAAATAAATAAGTAAATCTTTAAAAAAAAACCCTATATCTATTTTTAAAAAGAAATATACCCAGTAGTGAGATTGCTGGATCAAATTGTAGCTCTATGTTAATTTTCTGAGTCATGTTCTTACTGATTTGTACATGTCTGTACTACTTCACGTTCCCATCATCAGTGTGCAAGGGTACCTACCACACATTCACAGCAATACTTGTTATTTTTGTATTGTGCTAGTAGCCAATTTAACAAGTGAAATATCATCTCACTGTAGGTTTGATTCACATTTCCCTGAAGATTAGTGTCATTGAGCATTTTCTTCATGGACCTGTTGGTCTTTTTTATGTCTTCCCTTCAGAAATGTCTGTTTAGACTTACAGTCCATATTCAAAATTGGATTATTTGGGTTTTTTTGCTGTTGAGTTGGTTACATTCTTTATTTAGCTGAGATATTAACCTCTGGTCAGATGTATAGTTTTCAAATATTTTTTCTCATTCTATATGATATCTTTTCACTCTGTTGCTTCCTTTTTAAAAACAACTGTTTGGCTACTGTGAAGAAAGTGAATCATTGTAGGGTAAGGTAGAGTAAATTAATAGGCTTATGAAATGTGAAATAACAAAAAAAATACAGATAAAGAGAAGTAAAACAAATTTGAATGTATCCTGGAAGAGGGACTAATCAGACTTTCTGATAAATTTAATGCAAGATTGCTGGATGAGAGGATGAAGAATCAAAATCATTCTGAGGTTTTTAGCTTGACTCAATACACAGTTTGGCACTTTTACAAAAATGGATAAGTTGAAGACATGACCATATTTCCCTAGGGGAACACAAAAGCTCTTTTTTGAATGTGATAATTTTGAAAAGTCTGTTGGATGTTCAAGCTCCGGGGTAGAGCTATCATGATATAAAGAGGATTCAATCCTGAGAAGGGAAGGGGCCCCCTGAGGAAAGGAAGATGGTGCAAAGAGGTAGCTGGGAGGCTGAGTCTAGGGGCAGCGTGCCAACCAGAACTTTGGCCAAGGAGGAGAAGCGCAGTAAAGATGACATGAGGGATGAGCCTGGATGAGCCTGGGAGTCAGCAAGAAAACCAGGATTGAATGAAAAACTGCAGTGAGGAGGGGAAAAGCACAAGTAGTTGGTTGCATTGACTGCAGCTTATGCCATGAAGAAAACAGGGGAATAACCAGCTGTGGTGGACAGGGGACGAGCTGACTGACTGACAAGAATAGTCTCAGAGGAGGGGAAAGGTAGGCAACCTCTCCAGGAGAGGGCGTAAGAGCAGGTGGAGGCTGTCACTTCAGTCAGCACTTCGCAAACTGCTTTAGTGAAAAAATAAGCAGAGTATCAGGAAATAGCAATGGGTTCATGGGGGAGTTCTCTAGAAAAGAAAGGAAGTTTTGCTTTTTAAGCCATGGGAGTAACTGAAGGACAGTTCCTAGGCTAGTGAGAACCATCCTGTAAGGGTAGCAGAAAGACATCCACCTAAATCAGAGCTTAAAAACTCTATAATCTAATTTAAAATCCTTCTGCTTCTTTGACCTATGAAATTGCACTCCATAAAAATGCAAATTAGTAAGACATTAAGAATTTTTAAAATTATCTGGATTTTAATACTCATTTATTTTACTATGACCTTGTTAGAAAAACACAGTAAAATTATATTTTGATAAATCTGTTATTTTCAGAGAAAGAACATATAATTAGGTAATTCTACATTTAATATAACTTAATTAATTATTTTACTATTTAAGTTTAAAGTAATTATCCTAGGGCTTGCTTATCAGAGGAAAAAGAAAGGGGATTTGGGCCTAAATCATAGGTCATAGAATTGCATATTACTGATAAAACTGTATCCCCAAGTGTAAAAATAGATTATTCCCTCAGCCATTTTCCTTTAAAATAATGTGTGATTTATTCCATATTTTATGGTTTGCCTTCAGTAACCCAATCTGATACAAATTCCTTATCTATCATTCCCAAAGTATTTGAGTCATGTAAGAGTGTGTGTGTGTGTGTGTGTGTGTGTGCATGAGAGAGAGAAAGGGGAAAGAGATGCATAATATCTGTCTTACATCATAAGGTCAAAGGGTACATAAAGCAGGTGAATACTGGCACTTAGAGATACTTAGTAAAACACTATTATCACTATTACAGATGATATTATTTTCATTATCATTGTTACTACTGTTAGTGTTATCTGAGCAAGAGAGAGAGAGAGAGAGAGAGAGAAACAGATCTATCAATTGATTCACTCCCCAAATGTTTGCATCATCCATGGCCAGACTAGGTAAGTGCCTAGAATTAATCTGGGTCTCCCAACATGGTGGCAAGGACCCAACTACTTGAGCCATCAACTGCTGCCTCTAAGAATACACATTAGCAGGAAGTTTGAATTGGAAGCAGAGCTTCAGAGTCAGGATTTAAACCCAGGCACTCTGACATGGGATATGGACATCTAAGTGGTATCTTATGAGCTATGCCAAAAGCCTACACCAATATTTATGAAGTAAGGAAACTATGCACCATGGCTGAATAACTTGCTTTCCAGTATGGTAGCTGACAATCAAGCAAAAATAAATAAATATGCACGGTTACATAATGAAAACTGCTTCTTTCCTTAAAAAAGCTTATCATTGAGTCAATAAACATTTTAATACAATATATTAAGTATGTGTATATGTGCACATGTGAGGAATCTGATTTTAAAAATAAAGAGTATATGAAAATTTTGAGACATTTAGAATTTTATTGAGTTTGATATTATTCCTACTTACAGATTGGCAGTAGAGAATGAGAACACAGAGAAAAAAGTAGTAGAATAAAATGGGTGGGAGAGATATAAACACATGGAAAAGATGAAACAGTGGTATAAGGAGACAAATTGGAAATGAAGTAGACTGGCAAAAAAAAAAAAAAAAAAAAAAAAAAAAAAAAAAAAAAAAAAAAAAAAAACAGGTAAATGAATTGTCCCAAAGTCACAACTTAACCTTCTTTTGAGGCATGTTGCACTGAAAGATTGGTGATTATTATTTTGTGATTATTATATGTCATTTTTCTAATGCTTAACTCATAACACTAGACTCTTTTCTCTTAATGGGCTAACTAGTAAGGAATATGACAGAGAAATTATTCCCTGGGTTTCAGTAGTAGTTATCAGGGCAGCTGTCATTCCAAAGGCTGGAAATAAATTAAGCTAAAATCCAGATTTTGCCTTTGTCCGAGAGACAATGGCTTTATTCTTTCTCTTCTCCACATTGTTAACTTTACAGAAGCATTTCCTTTGACCTCCACTTAATTGTTGAATTGACCAATACTTCCCATTCTTTGGAAAACACCACAGCTCTCCAATCATGCCCAAGTAGATTAGCACAGATTACTCCCACCAGCCACAGCCCACAAATAACAAAGTCAGAGGAATTTTTTCCTGAACATCTTAATAAATCATCTGTGTTTGCTATTGTAATATGAATAAAAACTAAGATGGTTAAATTTAAGTATGATAAACATAACTGCTGTCAATGAAAGTGAAATTAATTTCATAAAAGTTGGGGGATCATGTTCCATATGTCCAAAGTTCTTACTTCTGATTAAAGCAATCAAAAATGAAAATTATAGATGATGCATTATTGGCATAGCTTATGCAAGAAATATGGTGTAGAATTTCACAGACACTCAAAGTTATAGTTCTACATTAAAATATTGGAATACGAAAGTACTTGTACTTATTTGAAATCATTTTTAATGTTCCCTGACAGGTTTTTTCAATTCATTAACTTATTGATCTTGGTCCTAACAGATAAGATAATATCTGCTATGTTCTTAAGTTCTTAAGGCAATATTCTTGCTACCAGAAATAATCAAACAAATTTGATTTAGAAGTATAGTAAACAAAAAATATATTCATCAAGAGCCAACGACCTCCTACACATTTAAAATTTAGTCACTACAAGTAAAATATATGTAAATTTTAGTGGTTAATATGTATTCTGAGATATTTGTATATAATTAGTACCATACAATATCAGTAATAGAATAACATTATGAGCAATTTTAGAATGTTTGCTACATATTTTTGTGTGCATTATAGACTTCTTGACAATTACATAGAATTGTATATTACCTGATATAAGAAAAATTACTTACCTAAATTATAATTAAAATGATATACTCATGATTATCAATAAATGCTGATCATTTACCAAAATTTTAATGAGTTATAGTATTTACATGTACATATTCCCTAAAGAAACGTTTTTCTCACATTTTAATAAACATAATATAAATTTTATGATTGTTTAATAAACTTTCCATGAACATAAATATGCATACTCATAAAATAATGTATTCTAATAAATGCCAAATAACAATGTTTTTTTTTCAAACAAATGTGATTATTGTTCATGAAATTATGGTTATATAAAACAAACTAATGGAAATAACTGGTTAATGAAAAAATGTACATTGGTAAAGTTGGTAAGTAAAATAAACAATGAAATGCATAGTTGATGAGATGCTAGTTTTAAAATAATCCTGGAAACCTCTCTATAAATGATTTGTGCAATATTTTAGGCCACAACTCCAATCTCTCCCATAAAACACACACAATAGTGCATTAGTCTGTACTGCCACCAAGTGCCTAAACCAATTAATTTTAAGCAGCAGCTATAAGCAGATTCTTTCACTGACCTAAGTAGTTATTTGCTAACAGGCTAAGAGCAAACTACTTCAACCATGATAGTCTATAAGAACATCACAATTTAGATATGACAATAAAATCCCAAAGGCATTAATAAAACATCAAAAATCCTACCGGCTCACTGGAAGTTCATGAAGTCTAAAAATGTTATTCAGCTTGTAGTTAAATTTTGCTGGACAAAGATTTTCTTTATATAAATTCAGGTTTGGTTCTGGTTGTATATCCATGGGAAATTCTGAATCCTGGAGAATAAAATAAAGCAAGGGCTCTGTGTTAAATATCCAAATCATTGTCCCTGCAGATACTCTGCTTCATTTACATTAAATTGCAATATAAATATTATTATTAGTTTTTCCCAGGGCTTACCTTAAATCCCTCATTTCTTATTTTCATTTGGAAAAGTATTTGAAAAAGAAAATTCTAAATAATGTGCATATCTCTTTTCTACAATCAATTTCATGATACACATCATGATACACATCAAAAATTATCTGAAAACACTCCATTTCCGAATTCCAATGAAGTATAATAATAACATTTTTGTATTATTGGTCAATTGTCCTTTTTCAATAAACTTTCCACCCCAACAGTACTATCAGTAAAGCCTATAATAATTCTTATACACTGTTTGTTCTCTATAAATGTGATACTAAAAATGCTTTCACTGAGTAACATAATAACATATTGTAACCAATTAATTATGGTTTTCTTCCTTAAAGCCAAAAACACAGGACAAACTTAAAGGCATTTACTGAAGGTAAAAGATATTTGTCATAATAATCCTTTTAAATCATATACTTTAGAATCTACATCTGCTGTATGTTGATCATGTCACCTGTTTCCCCACCAAGCAAACTACCTAAAGATTAAAGATGACTTTAAGTCCATAAAAAATAGCCTTTCTACAGTGGAAAAAAGACATTCTAGGAACAGGCACTCAATACTTAATGACAAATATCTTAACTGCTTAATTTTACAAAGGTAAAAGGAAGCAATCCATCTACTGCAACTAACGTTTTAAACTTGCTCTTAGAGTATTTTACTAAACTTTGTTTTAAATCTTTGTCAAACAAATTGATACGAATTGTATACTCTTATAGTATTAAAGATTTTATGAGTATTTACAAATTTCCTTAATATGAGTGAAGCTGAACATCTTTTCATTCTATTTTGTTTACAGCTCTTGCCTATTTTCCTACAGGACTATGATATTTTTACTTTTTAATTAGTTAGTTGAGCTTTAGACTATAATATAAATTAAAAATATGCTATCTTGAAGTTTTAAAAATTAAATTGCTATTAGAAACATAGAGGCATATCTATACTCATTCATTTATTCAAAAAATACTAAAAGTTATTCTTAAGTGTTGAAACTTAACTGAAAAGTGATCGCTGTTAAATATAAGAGTGGGAATAAGAGAGGGAGGAGATGTACAATTTGGGACATGCTCAAGCTGACTTGCCCCAAATGGTAGAGTTAGAAACATACCAGGGGATTCCAATTCAATCCCATCAAGGTGGCATGTACCAATGCCATCTCACTAGTCCCAGTGATCAATTTCTGTTCACAATTGATCATAATGATAGGACTAAGAGTCAAAGGAATCACAAAAACAAGACTAGTGTCTGAAAATACTAACCGATAGAATGAAAAAGGGAGAGAACGATCTAACATGGGAAGCGGGATACACAGCAGACTCATAGAATGGCAGATGTCCTAAATAGCACTCTGGCCTCAGAATCAGCCCTTAAGGCATGCGGATCCAGCTGAAAAGCCCATGAGAGTATTTCAGGCATGGAAAGCCAAGACACTCTGGCAAACAACAAAAAAAAATGACCTAAATGAAAGATCTCCGCGAGTGAGATCCCAGTGGAAACATCAGGTCATCAAAGAAGGAGGTACCTTTCTCTGAAGGGAGGAGAGAACTTCCACTTTAACTATGACCCTGTCAGAATAAGATCGAAGTCAGCGAACTCAAGAGGCTTCCATAGCCTTGGAAACTCATGACAAGAGCCTAGGGAGATTACTGATGCCATAAACAAGAGTGTCAATTTGTTAAGTCAACAACAGGAGTCACTGTGCACTTACTCCTCATGTAGAATCTCTGTCCTTAATGTGATGTCCAATGTGAAGTAATGCTATAACTAATACTGAAACAGTATTTTTCACTTTGTGTTTCTATGTGGGTGCAAACTGTTAAAACCTTTACTTAATGTATGCTAAACTGACCTTCTGTATATAAAGATAATTGAAAATGAATCTTGATGTGAATGGGAGGGGAGGGGGAGCGGGAAAGGGGATGGTGGCAGGTGGGAAGGAAGTTATGGGGGGGAACCCATTGTAATCCATAAGCTGTACTTTGGAAATTTATATTCATTAAATAAAAGTTAAAAAAATACTAATAAGTGTTATTTTATTCAAAATCTTATTCTAGATATATAGAATCCATTCATGAACCAAGTAAAAAGTCTTGCTTTGTAGAGATTACATTCCAAAGTATTCATTAATTTATTCTTGATGTTGGAAAAAGATAAAGTCCAATTCTATAAGTGAAATAGTATTTCATGCTCTCTTTTTACAAACTTATTGAAAAGCAGAGCAACACACACATACACGGGTGGGGGAAGAGAGATCTTTCAACTGCTAATTCACCATCCCTCTATTTTTCCTTTTCCATTGTATTACTTCATTTTCACATAAATTACTCTAGTCAGGAAAAATATTAATGTCACCTTTCATTTAACATTCAGCTATTTTTGTATTTCTTAAAATTATCAATGCTATGAATAGTTTTCTGTTGATAACTCTGAACATTAATCCTTTCTTTTTAAAGATTATTTATTTTAAAGGCAGAGTTACAGAGAGGCAGAGACAGAGGTAGAGAGAGAGAAATAGAGGCCTTCCATCTGTTGGTTCACTCCCCAGATGTCCGCAACCATAGGAGCCAGGAGCTTCCTCCTGGTATCCCACGTGGGTGCAGGGGCCTAAGGACTTGGGCCATCTCCTACTGCTTTCCCAGGCCATAGCAGAGAGCTGGATCTGAAGTAAAGCAGCTGGGACTCAAACCAGCACCCATATGGGATGCCAGCACTGCAAGTGGCAGCTTCACCTGCTATACCACAGCGCTGGCCCCTGAACATTATTTCTTAAAAGCACTGTTCTAAATAGGAAAATAATTTACGTAAAATAAATATGACAAAAACATGATAACTCTTCACAGGTTACTCTTCAGAAATGCTGTATAAATTTATACTTTCAGTCTTGTCGTACTACTTGCAATTCACCAGACCTTTGTTAAAGGTGTATAACCATTATGTCTCTCTCTCAGACACACACATACAACCCACTGATTGAACAATTTTTTTCTTTCTTTTGATTAATATTTGGGTGTTTATTTCATGCCAAGAACTGGTTTCAGTTCTTACAATATATCCCCAAAGAAAATACAAGCATACCTTGTTTTATTGCAGTTCACTTTATTGCAATTCACAGATTCTGTGTTTGTTTTTTTTTTTTGTTTGTTTGTTTGTTTCCTTGTTTTGTTTTTGTGTTTTTACCAACTGAATGTTTGGGTCAACCATGTATCAAGCAAGTCTGTGGTATCATTTTCCCATGTGTTCAATTTATGTCTCTATCAAATTTTGGTAATTCTCACAACATTTTAAACTTTTCCATTATTAATAACACCTGTTATGGTGATCTTTGATAAATGATCTTTGATGTTAATATTGAAATTGACTGTGATCTTAATTGATAGACATGTATGTTCTGACTGTTTCATCTACTGGATACTCTAATCTCTCACTCTTGATGGGTCCTCCAATTTTCTCAGACTCAACAATATTGAAATTGGGCCAGTTCAACCATACAGTGACCTCCAAGTGTACAAGTAAAGAGAAGAGCTGTACACCTCTCTCACTTTAAATCAAAAGATAAGACTGATTAAATTTAAAAGGAAAGCATGACAAAAGCCAAGACAGACCAAAACCCATGCCTCTTGCATAGTAATTCAAGCTGTGAATCCAAATAAACAATCGTGAAGGAAATTAAAATTACTCTTCCAGTGAACACACAGATGACCAAAAAAAGCGAAAACTTTATTGCTGATACGGAGAAAGTTTTAATGGTCTGTATAAAATGTTAATTCACCTACAACCTTCTCTTTCTCAAGCCAAAGACTAATACGGAGTAAGGCTCTAACTTTATTAAATACTATGAAGACTGACAGAAGTGAGGAAGCTGCAGAATAAAAGTTAGACATTAGCAAAGGTTGGCTCATGAGATTTAAGGAAAGACACCATTTCCATAACAGAAAAATGCAAAGTGAAGCAGTAAGCACTGATGTAGAAGAACAAAGAGGTAGCTAAGATTGTTAATGAAGGTGGCAACACTAAACAACAGATTTCCATGGTAGATGAAAAGGCCTTATTTGGGAAGAAGATGCCTTCCAGGGCTTTAAGGACTAGAGAGAAGTAAATGCCTGGCTTCAGAACCTCAAAGGACAGGCTGACTTTCTTTCTTGTAGGAGGCTAATACAACTGATGACATAGAGTTATAGCCGATGCTCATTTGCTATCCCAAACATCCTAGCACCCTTAGGAATTATGTTCAATCTAATATGCCTATGCTTTATGTATAGAAGTAAGAGCAAAGCCTGAATGACAACACATCTGTTTATAACATGCTTTAATGAACATTTTAAACCCATTGTTGAGATCTACACCTAGAAAAAATATTTCAATATATTACTGTTCCTTGATAATGCATATGCAACATAAGAGTTCTGAGGGATATATACAATAAGATTAATATTGTTTTCATGCCTGATAATATAAATCCATTCTCAACCCTTGGATCGGGGAGTAATTTCAACTCTGAAGACAGATTATTTAAGAAATACATTTTGTAAGGCTGTAGCAGCCACAGATAGTTATTTCTTTGATGAATCTGGGAAAAGTAAATTTAAAACCCTCTGGAAAGCATTCAGCATTCTAGATGTCATTAAGAAATCCATGATTCATGGAAGAGGTAAAAACATAAACATTAATAAGAGTTTGGAAGAAGTTGATTGAAACTTTCACGGATGACTTGGCAGTCTTCAAGATTTCTATGGAGGAAGTAACTGCTGATATTGTAGAAAAGGCAAGAGAACCAGAAATAGAAGTGAAGCCTGAAGATGTGATTGAATTGCTGCCATCTCATGATAAAATGTTAATGGAAGAGGAGTTGGATTTATGGATG